ATCAAGTCAGGACTGCTGTTAGTGTACAGTTTACAGTGGTTAAAGTGCAGGATCAGGAAGTTCTCAAGCATGGGACTCAGGTGTAAGTACAAACTCACTGTGCTGCTCTTTTGGGAGTCTGTCAGCAACTGCTTAGGGCAAAGTTTGTGATGGGTTGGACAGTTAAGCACCACTCTGCATGGCATGATGATGTCTCTGTTCCTGACATGACCAGCTGAGTATCCATTTTATCCTGTCACCTTCTTTGTCTTCAGACCAACCAACATAACCCTGTGATCTACATCCAGGCTGGGCTCAGCAGCAAAAGGGCAAAAATTTGGGCCCTAGACCAGGTGATTGAATTACCTTAACCATAAAAGATCTGGAACTCTGACTGACAGCAAAGGGTTACTAACTCTTCACTGTGTTAATGTGAACACTCACCATTTCTCCAAGCCTCATTTCATATGTCATAGCCACAGATCCTGGCTCCTGTGAGTCACACAGTGGCTCAAAGAATATCCTACATAGTGAAAGCAAAGTCTTACCTCTAGGTTCAGTGCTCTTTCTTTGCTGAGAGGTGCAAGCACAAAATACAAGTCACCATCTATAAAGAGCTAACATCAAAGTAGTATTTCACATAAACAGTCAGACACGTTAACATTAAAGTCCAACAGATATAAGTAATGCCTTTCCAATTCATTTCTGAGGAGGAAGAACACAGCAGAGCAGATACAGGACAATTTCAGTCAAGTGGGATATCTTGAAAAATGTCATTTTGAGCTCCTGGGACAGCTGTAAACTTTGGTGTGAGACCCAGGAAGACCACCTAACTGTAAGAATACAGTGGTTTCAACAAGGTACATCTACATTAAGACCTTTCAGTATCCCTGCACTTTTGCACTTGGGGGAATGGTAAAGATTATGCACTGGTAATTCCTGCAGTTGCTGACCTGTGGTCCATTCTTCAGAGCCCATAATTTCTCTGTGTGACTCACACTCCACACACATTCATGGGGGCCCTCTACCGTGAGCAGGCAAAAAAAGTCATGTATGCCTGCTGTTAGCCCTGAGGAACTTGCAGACATCTGCAGTGGCACAAAAGAGGAAGGGCTTTCAGAAATAAGGGG